TCAGGAGTCCAAGCAATGAAATGGTGTTTCAGCCACAAGTTTCTAATGGGCTGATGCCAGTGTTGGCAGCAGAGGTTTGCCTGCATCCAGCCCCGTATCTTCCAGAGGAGCAGCTGCTGGGTTGGATGTATAGATGTCTGTTTGTGGGAACAAGGTGAGCCTGGCTTGAGTCATCAAAACAAGGATGCTAAATGTTCTCTTTCTCATGTAGAAGCACAGAAAGAAGTGGTATAACAGTATAAGGAATCAGAAATGCCCTTGATATTGATCATTACGAAGTATTGTGGTAATTACAGCCATGGCCTTACACCAGTGCAGCTGTTGGCAGGGCTCACAGCAAGAAGTGATGTGAATGTTTGGTCTCAAGCATGTGCTTGATGCTGAACTGGTGCAGCAGAAAGGTTTGTACTTCAGCTCTGTCCTTTTCAGTAGTGGTTAAATACAGCTGTCAAGGTAACATATCAGAAGCTGCTCATGAAGTGTCTAAAAAAAACTTGATAACTGGAAACTACTAGAAGTGTATCTTTCTGCCTGGAAACAAATACCACCTAAATTTAATAAACTGAGTGATACCCTTGAGCGAGTAGGCATTTCTTTAGGTTCCTGTCCTGCAGTTACAGCTATTTGCACCACATGCACACATTCATATAAATACAGACAAGTGCAGAAATGTAGATCTTCTCCTTGGAGAAGTTGTTTGCACACCAGTTGCCTCCTTTGCCTCCTCTGTGTCTAATGATGATCTTAAATAATATCCACTTACAGCTGTGTGTGTATTAAAGTTTTCTGGAAACATTGCTGCAGTTTGTGATGCCACTGTGTTTGCAGTGATGCCGCAGTGTGTTTGCAAATTCACTGCTAAGAGCTTGCGGGAGGTGTAGGATGTGATACAAACTCAGCTCCCACTTCCCAGCCACACAGCCTTGCTTGCCTGGGAAGGAAAGGCTTCAGAGGCTCTAACAACAGCTTGGTACCTACAGGGAGCTCACCAAGATGATGGGGGCAGACACTTTACAAGTGCATGGAAAAGGATGAGACACAGCCAGTATAACTGGGGCTGTTTGCATCAAACCCCAGCTGGCACTGGCACGAAGACCAGAAGTCCCCCGGCAAAATTTGGACTGAGGCATCAGATCTTTTCTAGTCAGGGGATGAGGGTTTTACCCTGCAGTTTGACCATCATCTGGCAGAGCTGGCAACTGTCTTCACTGCCAGGAGGTGGCATTTGCGTTTACCTTATAAATCACTCTCCATGTAAGGATAAGTGCCCTGTCCCTATTTCCTCCTCTGCACAGGGACATGATACAGGGCAGGCTGGTGGGAAGGGACAACCTTTCTGGCATGAATGACCATTCTTAAGTCAACTGCAGGCAGGTAGCAAGTAAACATCTGTAGCCTCAGAGTGAGGAAGCACAGGTGTGGCCACAGTGACATGATGCTTATGTGACAGAAATGCTGCCCTGGGATGGGGGCACCCAGGGAAGACCTGCACACCAGTGCAGGAACTCACAAACCAGTAAGTCATCAGATTTGTCCTTTTAGTCTGTGCTCTGCTGCTGTGACAGTCCAGGTTCATTTTTGTGCCAGCAACAAATATGGGTCACATGCTCCTGTTTCACCAGAAAGCAGAGGGGTGAAGCAGCTCAGCCACATGTTCAATGCTCCGGGAAGTGGATGGTACCAGCGATCAGCCCTGCAGCGCTGGCTGATGTGGCATTCACCTGGCCGGGCAATAGGCCCCATCCCCACCCATCCTGCACAGCTCTAACCCATCTGCACACTCCAGTGGAAGATACTCTTGCTCTGGCACCACACCAGCAATTCTACGGAAGTCCAGAGAAATTAGTGCTACGCTATCCAGTCAGCCTGGTAAATCATTTTCTGGGCCCTCAAAAGATGCTTTTGTAGTATGTGAGGGGCCCCAAGATGCTCTGGAGGAATTCACATCGATATTGCATCCCTGCACCAACAGCACTGACCGCAGCAGCCTTCCCGTGCAGAACACAGCGGGGAAGCAGCTGCTGTAGGGGTAGGGACTGTAAAATCCAGCTAGTTCTCATGTGAGCTGTGGGCTCTGAAAGCGTTGGAGCTTTCCAAATGCAGCTCTCGAGATGCAGCCGGCACTAGGACCTGCCTGGAGCCTCTACGCCCCAGCCTGTACAGAACGGATAATACATCCCGGCCCGCCGGCTGCGGGCGGCACAGCCGCGCTGCCGCCGAGGAGCCCCCGCACCCCGACCCCCGGCGCGGAGGGGCCGGGACCCCGGGCTGCCGATGCTCCAGCTCTGCAAGGTCACGGCCTCCCTGTTCCTCGGCACGGCCAGGGCAGCCTGCGACGAGGAGCTGCTGTCGCGGGAGGGGGTCACCTTCTGCATCAATGTCACCAGGCAGCAACCGTTCCCCGGCCTCCCGCGGGTGCGCGGCATTCGCGTGCCCGTGTTCGACGACCCGGCCGAGGACCTGTACCGGTACTTCGAGCCGTGCGGGGCCGCTATCGAGGAGGCCGTGCGGGGCGGGGGGAAGTGCCTGGTGTACTGCAAGAACGGCCGCAGCCGGTCGGCTGCCATTTGCACGGCTTATCTGATGAGACACCGGCAGCTCCCGCTCAAGGACGCGTTTGAGGTAACGTGCCTATGCCCAGATTTATATTTAGACTCCTTTTGGGGAAGAAATGCAAGGCTTGTTCTGAGTAATGATCAGTTATTTTGGGCTCTAACCTGCCCATTACCAGTTATACAGATATTCAACATTTTGAATAAATGTTCCCCTCCAAGTTTTTTCACCCCCAGCTTGGACAAATGACCTTTCAGTGTGAGGTTTCTGGGACAAAATAATTACAAATGCAAATAGGCTTTGAGCACCAGTAGCAAACATGCAAAGCTGGTTGTTTAGTGACCATTTTTCTCTGTCAATTGCATAGTCACAGTAAGTGACAATAAAGACAGAGACAAATGAGTGGCTGCAGGAATTGTTTTGCAGGATTTGCTCCTTCACCTACATGACAGCTCCACGCAGCAAAGAAACATCCTGTTAAGCCTGCTCAATGGCCAGGGACTAGCTGTGAGCAGTAGCATCTCAGCTTTCCTGGGAAGCCCATCCAATACAAACTACTTGGACTCTATGGGCCTTTAGTCTTCACCCATTTGGCAGGTGTATGACTGAAGTCTTTAGATAACCATTTTGCTCACGTTAGACTGCGTGCAGAGAGTGACCAGTTTCACGCTATCTTAAACATGAGCAGTGTCAGCACACTTTGTAAGAGACATTCGCATTTCCAGCAAATTCAACAGCTCCTTCTCATGTCTCTCGCCCATTAATCCCTTCTGTAACAGGGACCACATGCCAAGTCATAGCAAGCACAGAGTGAGGTCAGCTCATCAAAATAGTTGTTCGTTATTCTGTGGTCAAATCAAAAACAAAGTAAATCTTCTCTAAGGTCTAAGGAAAAAAATCCATTCACAGGACACTCACAAATGCAGGACACCTTGCTTCTACCACTCTCTCCTGTTCCCTAGGCTGTGAAGACTGCCAGACCTGTAGCAGAACCCAACGCAGGATTTTGGTCTCAGCTGCAGAGATATGAAGAAGATTTGCAGATACTAAAGCAGCCAGGTCCACTGAGCAAAGGACTTAAAACTAGCAGTGTCTGAAGATGCTTTAAACAGAGTGAAGTTTCTACAGATCTAAAAAAAAAAAAAAAAAATATCCCTTCCTGAATCACCTCTACATAAAATGCCTGATGGTTCATTAGATTCATTCAGCACATTTCTGTTGAAGGTGCATGGAAACAGGGTGGATAAGCAGGGAGAAACAACAAAAGCAAAAAATGGTTGGAAGGACTGTAAACAAAGCAGAGGAAGGCATGGAATCTTCAGCAGTTATTTTCCCCTGAATGACACTGAATACGATAACGATGTACTGAATGAGTGAAGGAGTTACCACACAGCAGTTTTGGTTGTTAATTAAATTTCCCAGTGATGCCACTGGAAGACCTGATGCCAGACTAAGGAAGTTCTGAATTCCTGTCTCACCTGCTGGATATTAAGTCATAATTCATGTTCATGAGCTGACACAACTTTTGGTTGGAAACTAACACTAGTTGATGCTTAGTCTGCCATTTTCCTTCCGTTCAACTAGACCAAAGCACCTTCATAAAATTACCTAAAAATCCAGAGGACAGAACGTACAGATGATGGCAAGGAGTTCAGCTCCCAACATGCAAGTTAAGTGCCTTTTCAGCTTTTGAAATTATTCTCTAAAACACCAAAGGAATTATTTAAAAAACAACAGTTGATAGTGGGGGGAAGAAGATGACACTGGCAATTTAGAAGTAATCCTCACTCTTTTTAGCTTTACTTACTAAGTCTAACAAGATCTGCCAGTGCCCAACACATGCCTTAATGTGCCAGTTTACAAGTCAGCTGTACCTGCATCCAAGCAACATGGCTAAATCTGCTAAGACTGCTTGCTGGTTGCTTTCTGAAATTATCTATTGGGACATCAAGAAAACTGCATGAAACTTCTAAATCAGACTATTATATGTTTATCATAAGACATTAGAACTAGAGAGAAACACCAAGGTATTTTGTCAAACTGTGTGAATACATCTGTAATTTAAAAGGGATAAGTTATGAAACCTATGAACCTGCAGGGTGAAATTCCATTTCGTGTTGCTTAAAGCATAAATATAAAATAAAATTAGCTTATCACCATCTGTCTGAGTGCTCACACAAGGCAAACATATGCTCCCAGCACTGGAGTAGTTTAAGGCAGAAATTCTAATGATGGAACAATGACAGAGAATAAAGCCTCTGGGGAATTACACGAATTAGACAATTCAGATGCAGTAGAAGTTCCCAAAGTTAAAGATTGCTCAAAGTTAAAACAGGATTATTTTAAAAGCTGAAAACATAGAAATAAAAATAAAAAATTCAGGCTATTGTTTTCTTAGTTACCACAAGGCATTTTCACACCAGATGCTTTCTCCACTCCCAGCTGTGTTTGGTTCATTCCATATCATTTATTTTTGGTATCTGCATTATAACCATGAAATTTGTTGCACATCTACAGATTTGAAGGTGAGTGGTTGCTAGAGAATTTATTGTAGCTTTTATAAACCTTGACTATCATACATAATAAGAATTGCAGTAATACATCAGATCCTTATTAATTGCCAGGATACCACTCATCAAAAAATCTGTTCCAGTCAATCCATGGAATAAAGTTTATTTCCTGTCAAAAAGCTAAAGCTGCTAAACAAAAGTAGGAAGCTAAACATTAATGAAAACACAATACATTTTTAACTGTGAGGCCCATGAACTCACAGTCAAACACAGCTATCAGTTCCACATGTTTGAGTCAGCTGAAATGGAAACCGTTGCTCTCAAGTGTCAGCACATACTGCGCTCTGGTTAAATTTTACCAGCCTTGTCAGCATGCAGAAAACCTTCTTGTGGCAGGATTTCCCGTCACATCTTCTGTAGAAAGCTATTTACATCTGAAAACCATTCCTATTTACATTGGAAAGCACTCCTCCTCCTGTACTGCTCCGAATTAAGAGATAAGATTGCAACTTGGAACCGGAACCCTGGAAGTAGTTCACTTCTTTATTTGAGTTCATAACCTACTAATGTTACAGGCGATGCAAAATGGAAGTTTAGACATACTCCTTGTTGCTTATGATCGTCTCAGTGTTCCTGGAATACATGTGTGGCTGAGGAGCTGCCTGGCCTGCTGAATATCTGTATTTGTTGGTTCTGTAAAGTAAGGAAGAAAAAGATACAAATAAGAAGTATTAGACACATGTTCCTAGTTTAGATACTTAGGAAGTTACTCATTTAGGTCTGTATCAAACCCATCGATAGCACACTTCACAAAGGTGCAGAAACTAGCTGTCTATTGTTCTCGTCGGTCTGGTAGCTAAGTGGAAAGACAAGGGCTCCCTGACAGGCAGCACAGCCATCTCTCTCATAAACAAAACCACACTCTGGATTCCTAATTCACCTGTGCTCTTCCTCAAGGCATTTCAGTCAAGGCCTTAAAGCAGAAGAGAACCTAGCCCTCAATGCCCTTGTGCAAGCTTCAGGTTTTAATACAGGAATCAAGATGATGAGAAAGAAAAACAAGTATCTTCAACCAATCCCTTCAGCTGTCATTTGGCATGTTGAACTTCTATTTCATATGTCTGTTCTACCTGATTTTCAGGACATTTCAGGACATTCGGTACTTTGTATTAAAATACGGTGAGCAAGATCTAAAGTCCAATGTGGCTGATGAAATATTACCATAAAACTGAAATGGTTTCAGATTAGGCAATGAAGTATCAGAGGAGCGCTCACTTACTATGTGTTTTGACATAATCTTCAAAGATTAAATATAGCAGCAGTGAGCATGCTTCCTCCTTCCATGTTATCAGCCTCTCAAGCTTAGCCAGTACAACCTCCAAGCCATTTGAGTTCTTCTGAGTAGACACGAACCTCTGCTGTTTTTGCAATCTCATCCCTCTTCTTCAGAAAGGGACCTTCTGTTTGTGTCAATAATTTAAGATTGAAAAAAAGTCCAGGGCAGATTAAATATTGAGACTGGAAGTCTCAACTTTTCTGATTTGATGTGCAACAAGACATTTCCATAAAGAACAAGAAAAAAAATCATGTTTCTAATGATCAGTTGGATGTGCTTTGGGAAGGAAATGCCATTACACTTTCTGCAAATTAAATGGTGTTTGAATATTTTAATCACAGTGAGTATTGTAGAGAAACTGGATTAAAATACACTATATTCTTTGAAATACTTTTGCCAATAGACAGTTCACTCTTTCACCGCACATTTTCACCACATAGAACTTAGAAAAATAAGCAGTACCCAGAAATACCAAACACAAGTTATAGGGACTACTGATGGTGAAGTATCAACAAGTACACTGTGCAAGTGTTTGGTGTAGCATCCCCTGCCATCACAAGTCTGTGACAGCCCATAGTACTGCTGTACTTTATATGGTTACATATTTATACAAGAGGGTGAGAGAGAGAGAGGGGAAAAAAGTGCACAGGTAGAAAGGGATATGTAATTTACAGCTACTGTTTCGACTGACAAACCCAAGATTACCTGTAATTCTGTTTTTCCTTCCCTTTGCATGAACAGGTCAGTAAGATCCCACCAAGGATATAAAGAATAGAACCAGTCCAGCCTAAGTATAGAGCTCCTCCTAGTTCATACCTGAAACATGAAAGATTTTATGGAAACAGCTTATAACAGAATCACAAAGCCATTATTTTAGGCTGAGCCATAAGGTTCACAAATCATGCAAAGAAACAAATTCTAGTCCGCATAGAAATCAGCCAACTGAAAGGTACATTAGCAGAGAACAGAGAACAGATCTGGTTTTGTGTCTGCTCAGTAAAACTCTTACTTGTATATTTAAGTGCTCTGCTAAACTAGTACAGAAAGTGTGAAGCAACATTAAAATAAGTAGCAATAAATAATTGCGTATATTTAACAAATTGTTGATAATAAATAATAATAACATACCTTCTGTGCCATCCACAACACTTATTTTTCCCTTTTATTGGCTGTGCCACTGAAGCAATTTTGTGAAACGGAATGAATCAGACCTTACTGTCTGTCCTGAGAAAAGGCTAACCATAGGAATCAATTTTCTATGGGTATGATGCTAGGTGACCTACAAGTAGCTGTTTGTATAGGGCTAGTTTTCAAACTTAGGTATTCTAAAGAATATTCAGCACCCTCTGTGGTTGTGTGGCTGAAATCCACGTATGAGTGTCCCAGGGGGAAAAAGAATAGTTCCCCATTTTGCTGTGCAAAACTATACCTTTCAGGAAACCTCCCAGTCCAGTCCAAGAAATTAATTAATAATTAATTTGTCCCAAAGACTAGACACAACTGAATCTGGAAAAGTCTGGCAGGAGTTTCACAAAAAGAGGAAAACAAGTTTTGTGTTTGAAGACTGTAGGCACAATACACCTGTACCTCTGTAGTCTGAGGTACTCACTGTAAGGGTAAAATAAGTGTTATGAACTGTGTTGAAAGTACACTGCAACCAGAGATTTGTGTTTTCTTTCCACTTGTAAACACAAAATCATCATTTAAAAGTGTTGAAGCTTCTGACTCCAGAATTCATTGCTAACAGGAGGGCTTTGGGGGTTCACACACATTCCCTGCTCTCCGTGTTCTCATCGCACGTTGGAGCTGCAAGGTCTCCACTGGTTTAGGTGCTTTTCAAACACACAGTGGGGAGATAGTCATTATCTCAAAAAAACAGCAGTGCAAGCTGCTGAAGGAATACAGGAACAGCCAGGGAGCGTTGCCCAGTGTCTGAAATAGTCTCTGCTCACCAGTAAACTACAGACAGGAATGCTGTAGATGCCATCCCCAAGGAAAGTATATAGGAGGGATCTGCAGGAGAACTTAGGTTGCCTTCACAACTGTATGACAAACTCCCCTAAGAATTAGCAGAGGTTAACTTCACTAGTTTGCTGAAGTCAGACAAAAAAAAAATGCAGTCTGAAAAACCGGATTTCCCAGTCTCTTAAGAGTGAAGATCAATACTGGCCTGCAATTGAATTTAACTGTCTCTCAGAGTCCATGTCTGGCTTTACCAATGACCAAAGTTAATTCACCAAGAACCGCTCAGAGAATCAATAGCTTAAACATGAAGTTTGGATATTAAAAAAAAAGGATTTCTTCAGCTACTGAATGCAAACAATCTGGTAACTGATTAACAGCCATTGATGTTGAAGCCCCAAAGCTATAGCAGATAACTATAAAACTCACTAACTATCCCTCTAACTGAAATTCCTTATCAACATTTTTTTTCAGTTCCCTAATGTATTTATTACCCTTCATATAGTTCTCTGAAGAGGATATAAAACAACAAGTAAGTGCACAAGTGCAATTTCTTTGTGAGTGCTTCATTGAAAACACCGGGAAAACTGACAAACAACTAAAGCAATTGCTTAAAGTACTTTGATTCATCACAAAGCACTTCACCTCTGACTTTTCTGAACTGATTCCCAGGTGGAAAATTACAAAACACTTCAAATATGATCCTAGCAACTACAGATTTATAGTTTACTGATCTATGAATTATATACTAGATAGAGGTACTAACAAATTATAGAGGTCTCATGTTCCACAGTATGTTTCCATCTCCTTTTCCCCTTCTCTGAAGGAGAGGCCTGGTGACCTCTACCCTTGTTCCTTTACAAGGGCACCTTGATAAAGTGCCATAAGCTGCCATTTGGTTTTGACAAACATTGCTTTTACATCAGACAAGAGTAAGGGCTTTTATACCTTGAAACTTGTTTGTGTGCAACTGTACTAGCTGATAGTCCCCCAAATTTTGCCTCATTTTATTCATAAGGCAAACAAATGTTGAGACATTAATACATAGACAAGCAGTACATTTCTCTGCAGGTCACTAGTACACAGCTCAAGCTGCTTTCTGGACAATTTTCCCATGCTTGTATATGTGAGGTAATTTATCCTAGCCATATCTAGAATTTTGTACTTCTGAATGCTGAAGAAAATTAGGACTTTTACCTTTTTTTTCTTCATCTTGAGATGTGCACTTAATTGAGTCTCAAAAGAAAATGTAAACATAGTACAAAACCCGCATGGATGTGGGGTTGATATTCCTCACACGTTTACTAACTCTTCCAGAAGACAACTCTCCTCCCTCCCCACCAACATCTCTAAGGTAAAAAGATTCCCTGAAGACAATTCTTTTCCTCCTGTAAGACTGTATAATGGTATCCATCCAGGTTCTGAGACTCTGGAGCAGCTGGGATTAGTGCAAGTTTCTAACACATGATGGAGTTTGGTACGACAGATCCATTAACTTACTTGGTTCCAGCATACAGTGGGTCAAAAAACTGAGCAGTAATGACTGCAGCATACCAAGAAACAGCCACCATGGAGCAGAGACCTACCAGAAAAAGTTTAAAAAGCACACAGGTGAGTGATTCCTTTAATGGCTGTACCAGCTTTAAACTAAGAACAAGTTCATTTCATTTAATCTGGCTGTGAAAGCAACACAAAGTACTGATAGCATTCTCATTTCAGCCTTGAAATTACCTCCTAAAATGAAAAGAAATCCTCCCGTGACAGCAAACTTCATTTTTCCATCCTCATCGTTCAACCCAATGTTTGTGCACTTCAAACCAAGCAGTGAGACTACTGTAGCTAGGAATCCCAGAAGGATGGAAGTAATCATCAAGGCACGGCATGCCTGAATATGAGCTAAGACAGAAAAAGAGAAAACAAATCAGGATCTATACAAAAATGACATTAATCTTGTGCTGAAAAAGTGATTAGAAGGATTGACAAAATCAACAGGTGCAGTAATAAAATGAGTGAATCTTGTCCAACTTTGTCATATGGCTCAGAGAAGCCTCCAAACCTGAGCGCATTCAGCCTGCAAGTCAATCAGATTTCAGAGTTGAACAGCAGGTGCTAGCCAAGGTGTGTGGGGCTCAGGCATTACAGAGGAGCTGGAAAAATGTACCAGCTTTGCTGCTTCCAGGGAGAAATAGGAAAGAATGTGCTCGAGTTAGCAGTTCACTTCAAACTCTGAGTTGGTGTAACAAACAGGAGGCAAGTGGGTCCAAGAGCTGCAGCACTCCTCCCTAAGACATACTCCTGTGGAGAGCTTACAGCTCCTGTGGGCACGTTAGGGAATTTGGTATGCTGACAAGTCTGTATTGCTTAAGGTCACAGTCTTCACATTTAGGTATCAATTGCACAAAAACCTAGACAAGATTATTAATCAGCCTAAGAAGAAAGATCAAACAGAGACTTCGGTCTCCTCTAAAATGGCATTGTGCACTTGGCAGGTTCCAGCTCAAGTGGCATTTCGGCACCTTTGTTGTGAGATAAACATGCCAAGCGTCACCAATCTGGCAGGTCACAACTGCTAACTTTGTTGGACTTGATGATCTTAAAGTTCTTTTCCAACCTAAATGATTCTATAACTCTAAAATTCTAACCACACATCAGAAGGGTCAAAACTGGACTACAACTGGACACTGGCTCTGTTGATGCCAACATTCAAGTTCTTGCTCCCTGATAACCTCCCCAGTCCTCCATGATAACCTGCTGGCCAGGTCTGTAGCAGAGTGAGCCCGTAACTCTCCAGACAACAAAAATCAAAGAGAGAAACAGGAGGCAAAGTGATATTCACACACTGACTCAGTGGGGTGTATTGCCTAATGTGGCTTTAAGAGTATTGATCCTGCAAGCTTGAGAGTTATCAAAAATAGTAATAAGCAGTCATGAGATAAATTAAAGGATATTAAAGGATAAAATCGCTTGAGAAATTAATGCTTCATTAAGCACTAATTTTAAAAATTTTATGGAAAAAATACAGAGAGTAAAAAAAGTGAAAAGACCTCTCAGAGTACCATTAATGCCTCAAGGTTTTTGCCTGCAGAAGGTACTGTTAGGACAAGCACTCAACAATGCTGCTTTCTAGTTTGGGGTCTTACACCACGGCACCAGGAATCACCCATAGCAGGATCCAACAACTTACATTTCAGGTCCTGCAGTGTTAGATGGGACTCCCCATCTTTCCAGGACACACGAGCATATCCTCAGGCTAACTGCTTGCAAGCAAATGGCTGTATTATTTTAACAGCAGAAATTTCATACCATTGTACTACAATACAATAACCTCAACAGCCTTAACTGAGGACCTTACTTCACAGTTAAGAAAGCTCAATTTGTTGTTGTATTTATTTTTAAAATTAGCTTATTCAACAAGATACAAAGACAGTTCATTTTATTAGTCAATACTGACTGTAAGAGATTATGCCCAAAACCTATCATTGGAAGAAACAATTATGGAACATGAAAAAGAAGAAAGAAAGAAAAAAAAAAGAGTATAAAAAGCATTTGGCAACCAGATCTATCAAATGTTTGACTTAGTTGTGACTAGATAGTGCTAGCTATACAGAGTAGCCAGTCATGGTTTCGATCTTGTACAACATTGCTTTTAAAAAGATCCTCACTTCAAATGTTTGTGATTTAGACTAATGGTTTACTGAACTCAAAAGTGTTAAATCTGTCTAAAAGAACCAAGTCTCATATTTTCCATATATAAACGAAAAACTAGAGGTATTCCACATAGCTCAGTTTCCAATAAGGAAACCTCCGTGGAAAATCTTTATGATCCTTTTGATGAGAGGTAACAAAGACACTTTTGTTTTTTCTCTTTCTTCCCCTCCCACCAATCCCTGACATCTTAGCAACAGTTTCAGCTAAGTTTTAAACAGCAACTTGAACCACTCCTAAACTGATAATGATAATTTTTAGTCTGCCTTTGCTCACATCTGCCAGTACTATAGACATTTCTTAGAAGTCCCACTGTTTGCTCGGTCCTCATTATTACCAAGCCCATTTTCTTCCTCTTTCCTGCTTTGCCCAGCTGTCCTTTCCACTTTTATCACAATTCAGTGTCTTCTAACTTCTTTTTTTCAGTTTTCCTTTCTAAAAATGTTTTTTCTCTACAATTTTGCAAGTTGTTTTTCCCTTTCCCCTGCCTATGTCCCTCAAATATACTGCTGTCTTCTCAACCACAGAACCGATCTCCTTTTCAACAGATCACATTCACTTCAGGGCCTGGCCCAGCCATTTAACATTCTGTCTGGCCCCATTTATTTTTTCCTTCCTGCTGACTCCATGTTGTTATCTGCAGTTCTTCAGGAGCCCTCCTGTTGCTTGCCTTTTGTTCTCTTTGGCTTTAGCACATCATGATGCTCTTTTCTGACCCCCACCAGTTTCTTTGAAAGCCACTTTTTCCTGGGCAGCTCCATGATGCTGCCCTGCAGCCCCACTGGCCACATCTGCACACCCTCTCAGAGGCAGCACCTCGTGTAAATCCATCAATGACAAGATGCTGCCTGCAGTCAGTGGCAAACCAGCCCTTGAACTGTTTTTTACAAGAACCAAATAAAATCCCAGAATCATTAAGGCTGGCAAAGACCTCTGGGATCCTGGAGCCCAGCTGCTCACCCAGCACCAGTGCACACTGACATAAACGCTCTGCAGAGGATAATGTCCCATGGTTATGATCCTGCTATTACTTACTCTAAGAAGTTTAAAAAGGGTTATGTGCCTCTTAATACACATGTACTGTAAAAGCAATTGTTAGATAAGACTGAAAAATGAAAAGAACAGATTATTGCCTAAATACTGTACACAGACAGCTTCAGAGAATTGCTGTGCTAGTGTCAGAGCTGGTCAACAACATCCCTTTATTTCAGACTGAGAGAGAAAGTGAATTTAATACCTCATTCCCACTAATCCTATAGTACACATTCTTCAGATTAGGAGTATCCTCCTACCTATTTAGTTTAACCACCTCCCAGGGTATATTCAACTAGAAAGAAGGCATTTTTATTCTGGATAAGTATCTACATACTGAATTATTCAAGATTAATAAAAAATAGCTTCACTATCTATAAACATGCTTACTATCCACAGAATATTGCCTTAGTGGGACATTTGAAGACAATCCACAATTCTGCTGAAGACTGATACAGAGGACAGGAACCAGCAGATTTAAATTTCTTGATATTTAGAACCACATCCAAAAAGACATTAGTTAACAAGCCCTGACAGGTATATTAATTTATAACATATACTCCTTGTATAACTTATATTATAACATTACAATATGTATAACATATACTTACTGTATTTCTTGGATTGCCTACAATTTTCAGTCTCAATACACAAAACCCACTACCACTTCTCAGCTGTAAATAGTATTTCCTGCTATATGAAAAAACTCCAGCTGCAGTACATTAGCTATGAAGTATTTCAAAAGAAGGCCTATACAATAATTCAAAATAAATAAACAATTAAAAAATGTCTCCTACTAATTCCTCCCACAAGATGCTAGAGAAGAGATTACACCATACTTAAAATGTCTATTAAAATAAACGCTTGATCAACCGACTTCATTTGCCATATTTTATAGCCTCTCTTAAAATACCTGACACATTCTGCTGCTTAAGAGATTTTTATTACTTCAACCCACAAAGTCCTTCTTGGCCAGTTATTTTCAAGCACTACCAGATCACCAAAACAAAAGCCATACTCCTTTTTGCCCATAAACTTTTAAGCAATATGAACAAGGCTGAGCAAAGTCACATACCAGGCAGTTTAAGCAAAGAGTCAAATTCCCTGCAGTTGGATACTCCAGTGCTGTCTTCTACACAGCTCTTCCACAGGTTTTCATAGAACGTAGATGTTGTGATCACACTACCATGTATACTGGAGACTTTCCAGTAATTATTTGGCAAAGTAGCTCCAATAACTGCCAACCCACCCAAGCACAAGAGAAGACCAACAATTTCCAAGGCAGCAGTCATGCTTGTGAGTAGTAACAGTTAAGTATCCTAATAATTAGATTACAATCAAGTGAAGCCTTTCAGAAGCCTCCTTGCTGTTTTATCTCTGCGTTTCACTCCAAAATGAGTCTACCTTTGCTCTTTGCTCAACCCCAGAGATAAGGCTTGCTGGGCATGACAATAAGAAGTGGGAGCAGTTCATAATAAAGATATTAGTGTGTAAAAAAAAATGACAATATTAATTCTTTTTCTAATAGGAAGTGAAAAATGAGCCTCTTCTTTTTCTCAGCCTAGAAAGTCCAGTCAGTGTATCTACAAAATACCTAATAAGAGTGACAGTATGCAGCAAATATTTTATTTCTGTCTCTTCTCTGAAGTCAACTAGATTTTACACTAGATTAAAATTGTTTGTAATTTTATTATTGATCTCAAAAAACTTTACCGTGTTATTTGCTTGAGGACTCAAACATAGAAAAGCTTGAGAACAGGAGCTTTATTCTGAAGCTAGAAAATTTAGCACATTTTTTTGAGTTATGGTCATAAGTAATCCATAACAATTGTACTGCCAGCTTCCTTCAGGAAGGTTAAGTTTGTGGATAAGTGGTTTCCATTAATATTTTACTGTCTATTGATCTATAGTTAAACACATTCAGTCTTAAAAATAGTGCCATTTACACTGTACAATTGTACAATGCATTACATTGTAATAATGTACATGTCGTGGAAATGAAATATAAGGAAATGAAGGAGCGAGTGTGAGAGACCTATCTCAAAAGGAATAAAATTATGAAGAAAAACAGCTATAAGAAAAATAATACATATCAGCCAATAGTATCTGCTTGCTAGAATATCTTAGTACTCAAAAAAAAAAGCTATTCTAGGCAAACAAGATGTTAAACTTGGTTTAGTTGCTACTGCTCTCAGCTAGACAGAATCATAGACACAATTCACATCACCACTAATGTTAATACTTTAAGGTATCCAAACGAGGTTAACCATCTCTTGCAGTGATAACCTGCTCTTATCTGCAGGAAATGGAGTCAGAGTTTCTTCATAAAATAATTCTGCTATGATGCAACATGGTAACAGATTCACAGTATTTACATAATCACTACCAGAAAGATTAGCCTTTGAGAGAGTCACAACTTGCCCATAACAGATATTTGGGGTTTTTTCAAAATTCACTGTCCACTTTGAACTGATGCCGTAGGTTCAGCTGGAAAAGGATATTACAGTGCCACTGTGACTTTTTTGCTCCCTTGGCAGCCTAGAGGATCATTGCCACTGATTTAAACAAGACTATATCTGGCAGCACAAATCCTGTGATCCTGTGCAGGTCTGAACTTGCAATCTTTTAAGGAAACCAGATAGTGTGTGGTAAGAATTTGTCTTCTTGGGTGACTGTTACAGAATTCTCTTCTTCTGCTAAGTCACTGCAATTTGAAAAATGATGGCATAGTAAAATGAACACACTGTACCAGTACCCTGGAGTATATTCATCCCATTAAAAGCCCTTCAAGAGTTTCAAATTAATTTATCCATACACTGGTGACTATGCTGGTGACCTCAGCAATCACTTCTGCTGACAGCGCTTTCAAAGCTAAGATTAGTTGGGATCTTGAATCAAGTGTCACCAGATGTTATACTGCTGCCAATGATAAAAATAAAAAATTGAAGAATATAGTGTTAAAAAAACCCTCTTCCTAATTAAGAATCTATTTCAATAAGCAGTCATAAAGCACACATATAAACAGAAAAATTATATTGCATATTATAATGCATGAGCTTTTCCTGTAGGGCACCAGGAATTTTAATCATTCCCTTCAGGAAGTCACCCTTCAGTGTGTTGAAGAACATAGGGCAATTCTTCGCTAAATTTCATAAACTGTGGTTTGGTGAGCAATGGGCAGAACAGCCAGTGCTACTCTGCAGGAGGCTCTGGATCAGCAGCAAACAAGAGTTGGTGCTGACAGCTTCACATCCACACCTTCCACAGCTTGGGAGTTTGCCTTCGGGCTTGCTCTAACCCGGTCAGGTGAACTGAATGCTGTCAGTGGCTGAATTCTGGAACTGCACTCCTGGAGCACATTCCCCTGCTTTGCCTCATCCACAAGGAAACCAATTGGCATGTTCCAAGACCACAAACCAGACCAGGTGCAGTAAATGGAAAATTCATTACAAAAGTGCACTCCTAAGTAAAGTGCTTACATAGACATGCCAAGGCATGACCATATACGATCATAGCAACATATGACCGAGGAGAGAAATTGCTCCTAATCCCTCTGGTGTAATCCCAGCAGAGCACATTTGTGTGTAATATGGTTGAGAGAGAGCTTACAGGCAGAAATAGTAGTTTTTTAAATCAGATCACCCAATACAACTGGGGAAAAAACCCTGAATATATGAAAAACCTGAGTGCTTGATCAACATGAGCTGCACCTCACTTTCAAGCCCCAGGAATGCTGACTGAGCACAGCAAGCAGAGAAACGGCCCTGCAACAGATGACAATTACTCTGCAAGCACCACATGATGTGCCTTGGCATGAGGAACCTGTGCTGATTTTAGGGGACATGCAGTTCTTTGAATAGTTGAAGATGATCCACTGAGCCCTGCCAAGCAGGGGTCCAGTCTTCCAATTATGGAGGCCACTGGAAGGGAGGGAAGAGAATCCCTAGGAGGTCACTGCTGCACTTCACCAGGAACTCTTCTCTTCCTGGGGAATATTTTCTTTCCATGTTGGGTGTTGTGAAACTTCACGAAAAAAAGAAAAAAGGAGGCTGTCCTGCATCCCTACATTGACTCTGCTTGTCTTCATAACAGGCCTGTAACCTCTGCTTCTCCCTGTTACACAAGTCAAGGCAGAGCTGCCACACCATCGTAAGCATCCATGCCATCTCACTACGAGAACTGAAGGATTGTTGGCCCCATCTCATCACTCTAATTTCCATAAATCATACTTAAGTTTCTAAATGAAACTTAGGCATTCTGCTGTCTACATAGAGGAAGACCTGGAGAGGAGCAGAATGGATACCAGGATTGTATGAAAAGCTGACATTGTCTCTGATGCTTCTAAAATCCTTAGAAGCATATGATTAGCCTTCTTTTGAGGCCACAGATTCTGGCCTCATTACAGGATGTTGATACTTATTCTTAAAGTGGCACCATTGATAAGAAGGCAAAAGGCCATCAAAGCCAGGATCCTGTGGAAGAACCACAAATGTGCTGAATCTTGAGAGTTCACTCTTGAGAGTTAAACTCTCAGACTTCAGAGATCTGTCTCAGGCACCTCTGACTCCAGGAAAGTCCATATCTATGTCAAGAAAAACAAGGTTCATAGTCTGTGAGACACGGTATTTTGAAGTTTTGACCACTGTGCATCAAGAATAAATCAGCTGGAAAGAGTCCAGACAAACAGTAATGACAGTAATCAGGGATCTATAAAGCAGGGAAGACTGGAAGAAATTATTCCATTAACATCACGCATAAAGTGACTGCACAAAACTGAAAGTTGTAAGGGAATAAACAGAAGGTTCTGTTTAAAAGAGAAAGCTTAACAAAATACCAGTTTTCTAAGGCTGCACTGTTAGTATTTCTACACTCACTTTTTTGAGGAAAGATCTTCAGTGTTAGTTCCTCACAGTCCTTTACCATAAAAATGGTGTTTACAGAAAGATGTCTTTAGAATTTAGAACAATTCAAACAAACACTTTTCAGTCCCTACAGAGACATTTCTTCTCTTTCTAGTTAGAGACAAGCTACCCTGCTAGCATGGTCTACCCTAGAAAACACAAAAGCACAGATGTATTTTAATCTAAGCCAGCCTCTGGGAAATTCCGGAACAAATACACAGGTTTAGCACAAAGTATCCAACAAGTTCTGGATTATCTATTTGTCTCACACCAAAGCACAAACAAGCACCAGTGCTCATTGAACTATGATCTGCTTGTATTTAAGCATTAGGCTGAGTGAAAGAACACTATTTCTTCCAAAACAATTTAAAAAAAAATCTTAGATTTGTTGTATATTACTTATATCTCTCTGTCAACACGACAGAGATGGCAACAAAGCCACAGCAGTGACTGAGCTGAATTGCAGGCTGAAGGATACAGGTTTCACGGGGGCCCTCTAACCTGTCTGCAGCCACTACAGGATTTGTCCACACCAGACCTTCTGTTACAACTGCACTATGTGCCACCCCACTGTGCTAACATGCTGTCCAGAAACAAGGAACAAAACTACATCCCTGGATTTTATAAACGTATGCCATGCACACTTACTGTCTGAACTCAACATGTACAGAAATTTCTTGCACTCCACTGATCCAAGAGCAGTTGCTGCACAGTCCATCCAAAGCCCTTCAGAAACCCAGTCTGCAGTGGCCAGCTCTGTCGCAGTGTCCAAAACTTTCCATCTGTTGGACACGGTAGTAACAAGTAAAGTGGTGAATCCTGCTAAAGCCAGCAGCAATGCACAGATCTCTCGAGAAGATGATGCCATTCTTCCAGCAGAAGTTGTCTTCAAAGAAACCTCCCAAGATTCCTGATATTAGAAACCTGTTGAAACAGTTTATACCCACAGAGTAAATGGAGTTACCTTTACATAAGGAGTTACCTACAGGGAACTGTAGAACTGGAATCTAAATCTCATCAAATAATTGGAATACTTATATAATAATTGGAATATTCTATGACATTGAGTATTTTTTTAGGAAAACATTTATTACTGCACATGTTTACCACAGAAAAGTACCAACAGAGCAAAACCAGAGGATCTGACTGAGGAATTCTCTACTTTAAATTTGCAATGTTTCATCCGTTCTTTACTTGTTTGCTAACTCAAGATTCTTTCAAAATTAGGACAATCGACTGCAATTATGCATCTCCCAATTACAATACCAATCAATGCATTTGCAAGATAAATTTTGATACTCACGTCTGTGGTCTGTTCGTTTCATCTACCTTCCTGTGAGGCACTGGTGTCAGCACTTTGTGAGGACCAGTTTGATCAAACAAGTGGAAGTTTCATACTCTTTAGGACCTTTGCTCCCATTCTAAAAATCAAGGACCCAGGGCCAAAGCTCTGCCTGACTCGCACAAAGCTCTGGCATGGTTTTTCGCTACAGTGAAGTGTCAGCAAAAGGGAAAATTACAGCAAAATCACCTAAGTTAGTACCAAAGATGCTCAGATTAACCTGGCACCCACTGGTATATAATTTGCTTTGTCAGTGCCACACACCATCAGACCAAAAAGCACTACAGAAATATATTACTACAACTTTCACAGTGGTTGTTTCACTTGAAATTTTTTATGCATTTGTTTTAGGTTGCAGCCCACACCATGAAGAAATATGCAGACAGCTACCTTTCCAGTGGTTCACACTAAAATGAAACTGTTTGTTGTTGCAGCCATGCACCCTGACAGGACAGACCTCCCGGCCAAAGGAGGTCTGGCTGCCTGGGACAGCTCTGCAACCACTTTGCTGCTCTTCTTCCTCGTCTCTTTGCCTTCCTCTGCCCCAAGATACCACTCTCACTCACCCCTTCCTGACCCTGCTGCTACCACACAAACCCCATAGGACTATCCAGCTAACAATTTATTCTGACACCACATCCATCCTCTTTCAACCTGTACTACGGACACCCAACCCTTCAGGACTTGATTGTACCAGCTGTCATGTTTATAGGTGCAAGGTGATGGCACCACTGATAGCAAATATGCTTTGCAACTGTCCAAAGGAGAATGACTATAAACCAAAACCAAATAAATACACAAAGTCCAGAGCATCATCCCTCACAAAGTGCACATATAGGCTATATATAACTAAGAGCTGTAATGTGATAAAAACAAGCCCTGGGGGAGCAAAAACATCATCTTAACATTAAAAACAGTGAAAAAAAAACAAGCCCTGGGGGAGCAAAAACATCATCTTAACATTAAAAACAGTGAAAATGCATGTGGTCCGAACATCAGGCAGGAAGGGTTAACAAAGAAAAATATCTAAGTCACTTAAACAAACAATTTACTTCTGATAAGGTGGTCATTTTTGGAAGCAAAAACGAGTGGTAGAAGTGTTGAAACTGAAAAGTTAAAAAATTCTTTTACTTCTTTTTCATTTTTTTACATCAAAAACCAGAGAAAAAGCATTGGTTACCACACTGATTTCATTTGCATATGTATATATACATTTCTAACACCAGCACTATATAGCTTTGAATCTGCTAATCACTCCTTAGTTCAAGCAAATTCTGAGGCTGACCCATGGCCACCAGCATAATCAGAAAGAGATAAAATGCAGATTTGAATACAGTACTAAACCACTTAGAGCAGTTTCCCACCACAGCTCAGAAAGGTTTTCTCTGGTCAGAGTCTGACCTTAAGTTGAGAAGGCAAACTCTTTCACTACTACTTAGGAAAAGAAAAAAAAGGTGGAGCAATGTTAGTTTGTTTCCTCCCCACTAACAAAGAATTTGACTTTGTGACTTGGCTCCTGAAGTTTTCATAACTTTTTAAGAACCTAATCAGGCTCATAACCACTTGCAATTAAAATATGCAGATCACTCTCACATTGCTATTAACCTTCCCTTCACACAATGAACTATAGAATAACTTAGGCTGGAAGGGGCCATACTGATGCCAATCTTCTGCTAAAGCACAGCCTCAGTGTTGGATCAGGTCACCCAAGCTTTTCCAGCCAATGGAGTGGCCTCTGGGGCTGGAAACTGCACAGCCACTCTCCCGTGGAGCATGTTCCTCACACCCACGGGGAACTTTTCCTGCTGCAAAACGTCACTGCTGCCTCTCGCCCTCTCCATACAAGCTTGAGATAAACCACTGTTTATTCAGCTGCTTGATTTTGGAGGCTCTGCCCTCTGGTCTCTGGCAGCCCAGGCGTGACTGGCATGTACAGCGCTTGGTTGTCCCATGGGTATCTATGGCAACACAGATAACCAGGAAGGCACACACAGCTTCTGGAAACCTACAAGTTATTTGCAAAGCAGAAACCTGTTCTCTTTTCGCATTTAATTTCAGGAGGGTGTCAGTGTGGACAGGGGACTGCTTCCTGCCAACACACCTTTCCAGCCCTGCGGAGCTCAGCTGGCATGGAGATGGTGCCAGGAACAGCAGCAGAGTGCCAGAGAGCAGGAGCCCCAGCCAGCATCAAGGGGACCACAAGGCACCTGGGGCACCTGCTCAAGCATGCACGGGGAATCACAGGATTATAGAATCATCAAGGTTGGAAGAGACCTTTAAGATCCTCCAGTCCAACTATCCACCCAGTGCAACCACTGTAACCCATAAACCACTAAACCACATCGCCCAGTGCCAGATGCAGACTCCTCTTGAGCACCTCCAGGGGTGACTCCACCACCTCCCTGGGAAACCAATTCCAGTGCCTGACTACCCCAATGGGGAAAAATTTTTTTCTAGTATCTAATCTGAATCTCCTCTGTCTCAGTTTTTGTCCTCTTCACTGCAGGTGCGGCAGAAAAGATGGGTCCTGCCGCACTGCAGCCTCCTCTCAGGTGGTCGTAGAGAGCAATGAGGTCACATCTGCACCCCCCCTTCTCAAGACTAAACCAAGCCAGCTCCCTCAAGCTGTTCCTCATAATACAAGTTTTCTAGATCTTTCACGAGCCTTGTTGCCCTTCGGTGGACCCACTCCAACACCTCAAACTCCTCTTTAAAGTGATGGGCCAAAAACTGAACGAAGTACTTGAGGTACAGGCTGACCAATGCTGAGTACAGGGGGATGATCACTTCTCTAGTACTGCTGGGTACATTATTATTGATACAGATACAGGGAAGAGCCTGGGAGAAGGCTGTGGGGTGGGAGCAGCTGTCTTGCACCTGATCGGCCTCACACAACCCTTTGCTGGAGCAGCCCAGTGGTGAGGCAAGGTAAGGCAGGGCGGAGGAGCCAGGTGAGGGAAGGTGGTGAGGTGTGGTGAGATCGTGTGGAACCACACACAGAGCAAGGCAGGGCCGAGGCAGCAGCCCCAACCTCCTCCCCACCTCCTGGGCTGCTGCAGGCAGAGCCCCAGGCTAGGAGGAGGCAGGCTCTGCCTATTCCATAAGGCTTCTAGAGAACAGTATACATTAACTCAGCCCTGCAGAGAGACCTTGATAAATTACAGAGCTGGGCAATTATCAACTGTATGAAGTTAAACAAGGGAAAGTGTCAAATTCTGCACCCGGGATGGGACAACCTGGGTGCCTGAAGACAGACTGGGGTATGAGATGCTGTAAAGCAGTGCCAGGAAAGGGACCTGGGAGTCCTCGTTGATGGCAAGTTGAACATGAGTCAGCAGTGCCCTGGCAGCCGGGAGGGCCAACCATGTCCTGGGGGGCATCAGGCCCAGCATTGCCAGCTGGCTGAGGAAGGTTCTGCTCTGCACTGGCATGGCCTCACCTTGGATATTGTGTGCAGTTTCGGATGCCACAATACAAGAATACAAGAGAGTATCCAAAGAAGGGCAATGATAATGGTGAAGAGTTTTGAGGGGAAGCCATATGAGGAGCAGCTGAGTACACTTGGTCAGTTCAGCCTGGAGGAGACTGAGGGGAGACCTCACTGCAGTTACAACTTCCTCATGAGGGGAAGAGGAGGGGCAGGCACTGATCTCCTCTCTATCACAGAACCCGAGGGAATGGCCTGAAGTTGTGTCAGAGGAGGTTGAGCTTAGATATTAGAAAAAGGTTTTTCTCCCAGAGGGTGGTTGGGCACTGAACAGGCTCTCCAGGGCAGTGGGCACAGCACCACGGCTGACAGAGCTCAAGACGCGTTTGGATGATACTCTGAGGCACATGGTATGACTCGTGGGGATGGCCCTGTGCAGGCCCAGGAGTTGGACTCGATGGTCCTTGCGGGTCCCTTCCAACTCAGGATATTCTGTGATTCTGTGAAATCACTGAGCCCCTGGTTACACAGCACCAGCGTTTCTCGCCGGGGGGGACCGGTAGGTGAAGGCGCTGCCACGCTCATCATGGCGGCAGAGCCGGGGTCACCCACCCGACATGGCGGCCGGGGCGGGACGCGCTACCTCGATCCCGCGGAGCTGCCCGACCGAACCCCCGACCCCCCACCCCCGACCCCCGTGCGGAGCGGCCCCGGGAGCCGCGGCCGCCTGGCGCGATGCGGTGACCGAGGGGCTCCCCCGCCGTCCATAGGAAGATGTCGCCCGGCCGCCCCGGAAGTGGTCGGGGAGGCGCCAACATGGCGTGGCGGTGCTGGGCCCGCGCCGGGGCCCCGCGACCGCACAGGTACGGCCGAGGCGCGGAGGGAGGGAGGCAAGGCGAGGGAAGGAGCGGCTGGGGCGGGCGGTGCTGACGGTCCGCGTGTTTTCCCCGCAGGCTCGCTGTGCTGCTGCTGCAGCCGCGGCGTGGTTTCCGCCGGGCGCGACCGCGGCCCGAGGAGCCCCCGGCGGCCGCGACCGAGGCGCCGCCCGCCCCGGCGCCCCCGCGCCGCAGTCTCTGCCCGCCGTCGCCCACCGCCGCCGCCGGCCGCCCCTCGCCGCGCCGCCTGGTCAAGCCGCTCCTCTTCGCTGTCGGGGTAAGTGGCTCCTGCGGGGAGCGGAGTCGGCAGGGAGCGTGTTCCGTCTTTCTCAGTGGAATTCTGCTTTCTTGGATTTCGTTTCTCAGTACCTCAAAGTTGGTGCAAGGTTATTGGCCAAATACTCTGCCGTTACACTGAGATAATACGAAGAAACTTCGGCTAAATCAATGGAAATGTTGTAAAGATATCCCAGTTTCACTCAGTTTCAGCGAACTTAAATAATTTAATTTACGCATTTTGTTTGCGAACTTCTTTGATAAAGTATTATCTTGTGACACTTAGCATTCGGTAAACCTGGGGAAATGGCCTCAGGTTGCACCAGAGGAGGCTTAGATTAGATAGTAAGAAAATTTTTCACAGAAAGGGTTGTAAAGCTTTGGAACATGCTGCCCTGGGTAGCAGTTAAGTCACCATTCCTGCAAGTCTTCAAAAAACGTGGATATGGCACTTGAGGATATGATTTAGTGGTAAACATGGTGTTGGTGGTGCTGGCTTGATGGTTGGACTTATGATCTTAAAGGTCTTTTCCATTATCCAGTTTCTATTATCCCTGTCCATCAGTGTTGCTCAGCTCCCATTGCCGGCACAGTGCATGGTGTTAGCCTGGGATGAGCCGGCTGGAGCCCC